GTGTGTGATTGGTTAAAATGCGCAACACTGTAAAAACGCCTAAAATGAAATATGGTGCAACATGAGCAGATCTTAATTTAATGCCGCAATCGACACTGTCTATTCATATTCACTTTGTTAGCAACAGACGTAATAGATTTAATTTGTTTGTGCAGGGGCATTTTTGTCCAATTTAGTGGCATTTTTGCCCCAAGCCTTCCCCAGCCTTACACACGCACCGCCTATGGAGTAGACCTATGTCTTTCTATGGAAGTATTATTTTATGTACCACATTTTAATAGACAAATAATATTGTCTCTTCATTTTAACTGGACCGCAATATATGCAGTCATGTCTGACAACTTGACAAATAATTTCTGAAATTACGATATATAAATAAATATGAAGGTATTTTGGAGATCACAGATTTCTTTGGAAACTGATTGAACTGGTTTTAGCCTTTATTATACTTTATGAAACTATAATGAATGTTATGCAAAGTTAATCTACTCAATCATTTACACAGATTTTAAACTACGCGATCTAAAGTAATTTGTAGTCTTGTGCCTCCCTCTTTGGACAACATTAGTAGGCTTTTATGTCTTTCATATCTTAATAGATTTCTTGTCCTTTGGTTTCCTCTAGTGGACAACATTAGTACACCGTGTTGTAGTCCGTCGGCCATTTTGAGTTGGCAAAAACTTATTTTTCGATCTCCTCTTAAACCACTTGACTGATTCACACGAAATTTTGCATGTAGCATCTATAGACACTAATGACAAAAAGTTATCAAAATAATTTAAATTAGTCAAACCGTTTAGAAGAGTGTTTCTGCAACTACGGGCACTTTTAAGTCCCAGCAGTGAAATTTGAGATTTATGTTACAATTTGTCAAATGTTTTTTTTTAAAAATATATTCACAGTGTCATTACACACCTTGACAAAAATATAATTAATGAGTAATGTGATTTAATATAAAATTATGAAGCATTTATAGGGCCAAACACCATTTTTGTTCATGTCCCACAACTCTGGTCACAATGTTGAGATACATAAAATAAGCTAATTGAATTAAAATTTGACATTATTTCAAATGGAATTGTTTAATATACATATTAATTTACAGCATCTTTTTATTATTTACTGATAATTTTTATGATTATTTGAACTAAATGTGCCTGTCCCACACTTTTGAGTCCTTACCGCAACTATGAAAAAAGGCTTTTATTATCACATTATATCAAAAACAAACAAGTCTAGTTTCTATGGCAACAGAAATTAGCATGTGAGCACATTGCTGACAAATTGGGCCACCTCACTACCTCACTCACAAGATCCCAAAAATATAAGGAAAATTGATGGTTAAAATAAAAATTCACAGGGGTTGATTTTTCTAAATTTTGGAGAGTCAAAAGTGCCCGTAGCTGCAGAAACACCCCAATACATTTAGTAGCCATTGCTCCATGCTAAACTATATCTTCTAAACCATTTGATGAATCCAAATTCTTTTGATAACTTTTTGTCATGAGGGTCTCTAGATAATAGGCTACACACAAAATTTGGCCAAATTGGGCCACCTCACTACCTCACTCACAAGATCCCAAAAATATAAGGAAAATATAATCTTTTCTGTGTCAGTATTTATTATGTGTCCTTACCATACAGCTTAGTAATTCTGTACTTTGAACTACATTTTAAAAACAAATGTATATTACGGTTTAATTCATGTACATTAAGATGCTAAGAGTCAAAACTAGGACGAGTTTGAAAAAGTAGATTTATAAAACACCTCAAAATGGTGGAATAATTTGATTGTAACCTGTATTGTTGTGGAGATATGAGCAAAAATGTAAAAGTACTTATTATAGCGCCACCTATGGTCTGATCAGGGTGTGTGTGTGCACCTGAGTAGTGGGGGAGATTTGGGACCATCCTGCCAAATTTGGTGTTTCTACGACTTACGGTTTTGGCTGGCCAGACACTTTTTCTATGTACACAAAAGGCCTATTTCTCTCAAATATTGTTCACAAATCTGTCTAAATCTGTGTTAGTGAGCACTTCTCCTTTGCCGAGATAATCCATCCACCTCACAGGTGTGGCATATCAAGATGCTGATTAGACAGCATGACTATTGCACAGGTGTGCCTTAGGCTGGCCACAATACAAGGCCACTCTACCGCAACGTTAGAATAATGTTATACGTTGCGGTAAGGACATTTTGTAAGAAGAGTTGAAAAACATAAAAAATAAACATGTTCCAGATTAAAATCTTAATGACTCCATGCAATTTTGTTGACCTTTTTATATGTATTACAGACTATGATGGTTAAAATAAAAATTCACAGGGGTTGATTTTTCTAAATTTTGGAGAGTCAAAAGTGCCCGTAGCTGCAGAAACACCCCAATACATTTAGTAGCCATTGCTCCATGCTAAACTATATCTTCTAAACCATTTGATGAATCCAAATTCTTTTGATAACTTTTTGTCATGAGGGTCTCTAGATAATAGGCTACACACAAAATTTGGCGTTAATTGGACAAATGGTCTAGGACGAGTTTGAAAAAGTAGATTTATAAAACAGCTCAAAATGGTGGAATAATTTGATTGTAACCTGTATTGTTGTGGAGATATGAGCAAAAATGTAAAAGTACTTATTATAGCGCCACCTATGGTCTGATCAGGGTGTGTGTGTGCACCTGAGTAGTGGGGGAGATTTGGGACCATCCTGCCAAATTTGGTGTTTCTACGACTTACGGTTTTGGCTGGCCAGACACTTTTAGGGCAGAAAAAGAATAATAATAAGAAGAAGAAAATCAGTACGAAAACAATAGGGTTCCGGCACCTTCGGTGCTTGGACCCCTAATAAGGTGATTGTGTTAAGTTGCCTTTGAATTAAAAAGAGCCAACTGCCTTTTAATAGACTTGTTTACTCAGAAGCAGTAGCTTTGGACACCTTTTATCACATTTCATATGAAAGAGTGGAGAGGAAAAGAGTGTGAGAGAATTTAACAAATAGCTAGTAATTTTTGTTTTCAAATTGATTAATAAGAAACAGTTGAAGTGAACAAAAGGGTTTTGTGTAATGCAGAACATCCCCAGCAAATTTGCCTCCTGCTGCGTTTGTCTAAACAGTCAAAGCGTTGTTTTATTCATTGTGAATAACACTCCTGGAGACAGTTTCAACATCTTCTGTGACTGTATATGATTTTAAAGGTTTAGAATAGACAGATTCTATGCATTTACATGATCAAAAACCTGTTGTAAAGGCTTGTAAAAACATTATCATTACCATCCACTTGATCTTATAATAATAATAATAATATTTTTTTATATATAGAGTGTGTGTGTGTGAATGTAATAAGAAATTACTGAATATTATTTCATCTTTGTATGTGATTATATACAGTGCCTTGCTAAAGTATTCATACCCCTTCATATTTTTGTTTTGTTTTATGTTGCAGCCTTATGTTAAACTGCTTCCCCCCACATTAATCTACACTCCATACACCATTATGGCGAAGCACAAAATAGATTTGTGACAACTTTGCAAATTTATTACAAATAAAACACTGAAATACGTACATTACATAAGTATTCATACCCTTAACTCAGTACTTAGTTGAAGCATCTATACAGCCTCAAGTCTTTTTGGGTATGATGCAACAAGATTTGCACATCAGCATTTGGCAATTATCTGCCATTCTTCTTCTCACCTCTTCACCTCTCAAGCTCTGTCAGGTTGGATGGGAGCAGATGCACATTTTCAGGTTTCTCCAGAAATATTGTCCTGTTGGGTCATTGTGCTGTTGGAAGGTGAACCTTCTGCCCAGTCTGAGGTTCGGAATGCTCCGGACTAGGTTTTCATTAAGGCTATCTCTATTTGCTCTGTTGAGCTTTTCAGTCCCTGCTGCTGAAAAACAGCCCCACAGCATGAGGCTGCTACCAGCACACTTAGCTACTCTGCAAGTGATGAGCAGTGCCTGGTGTCCTTCAAACATGATGCTTGGAATTGAGGGTCATCAGACCAGAGAATCTCATTTCTCACAGTCTGAGGGTCCTTTAAGGTGCTTTTTTGCAAATTCCAAGTGTGTTTTCATGTGTCTTCACTGAGGAGAGGATTGAGTTTGGCCACACCGCCATAAAGACTGGATTGGTGGAGTGTTGCAGCGATGTTTGTCCTTTTGTAAGTTTCTCCCATCTGCATATATGTTCATGGAGCTCAACTGACCATCAGTGACCATCAGCTTCTGTCTAACCAAGGCCCTTCTCCATCAATTGCTCAGTTTGGCCAGGAGGCCAGCTCTAGGAAGAGTCCTGGTTGTTCCAAATGTCTTCCATTATGGATAATGGAGAGTACATGCTTCCGTGAACCTTCAATGCAGCATAATTGTTTCCTGAACTCCCCAGATGCCTTGATGCGATCCTGTGTCTGATCTCTACAGGCAGTTCTTTTAACCTCAGGGCTTGGTTTTTGCTCTGATATGCATTTTCAGCAGTTAGACCTTTATTTAAGACGTGTGTGCCTTTCCAAACCATACCCATTCAAATGAATTTGCCACAGGTTAACTCCACTCGAAGTGTAGTAAAATCTACAAGCAATATGAATGCTCCTGAGCTAAATTCAAAAGGGTATGGATACTTATGCAATGGAATAATTTCAGTTTTTTATTTCTAATAAATTTGCAAAGTTGTTTGACAATAAAGACATTTATCAAAGACTAGAGATAGTCTTTGATAAATGTCTTTATTGTCAAATGAATGCTTCCTTGCTGAATAAAAGTATTCATTTATTTTATTTAACAAAATAAACGGTGTTCAAAACTTAATGCCATTTTTGACAGTTTAAAAAAAAAAGTTTTTCATCTGCATTTGAAAATATGATCCAGACTGCGAATTTCCTCGCCTTCTACACATTTTTGGAGACATTCTCAGGCACACGCCCCTCCCATCAGAGCGAATCTTTTTTGATTGACATGAACCTTGACCAATCACAGCAACCAACTGTTTGTGATGGGCGGGATTTCCTTCAGCTTCATCGCTGGATGATCTGCTGCAGCTCTAGGTGACACGTAACGAAAGGTGCGATTAGGCCGCTCTAAACTTCAGATAATTAGTAAAAAGACTGCTTTTCATTATGTAAAAAAACTCAACAGAGCTTCGACTAAGCACGAGGACCGACTACAACCGTACTCGTCACTTTTTTTTAATCTGTTGAATGTCTTTGGAAAACTTGGCGAAACGTGAGACTTTTGTAAACATTTCAGATACACAAGTCGTACGAGCAGCTGTCCATGAATAGAATGTTTCATGAGGAATCTCGGAGAGGACGGAGTTGTTTCTATACTTTAGAGTGAAGAGAAAATCATTCCCGGGAAAGTTTCTGTGGAATCCAGGAGAGGAGGGAACATGGGCAACGGCGTGTGCTCCAGGAAGCAGAAGAAGATTTTCCAGTCTCTGCTGCTGGTCACGGTGGTGTTTGGGATGATCTATGGTGGGATGTTTTCTTACGAGATGCACAAACAGCTGAAGAGGACAGAAGAGATGGCTGTGAAATACCAGCAGCACCAGGAGTCTCTTTCCGCTCAGCTTCAAGGTAAAGCGCACGTCGTCGCGATGACGTCACGGCGCAAGACGCATTCTATAAACTTTTTTGGCCAGCGAGCTCTGAAACATTATTTACTGTGAGTGACCGTCCTGTTGGTTCTTTGATTGTGGTGTTGTGATTTAGTGGTTAAAGCTCTAGAGAGGTCATCAAAAGTTTTAGGTGTAACGTTAAATCACATAAAAGAATGGAATGTCACATGACAGGATAGATGACATTTTTGAGTGCATAGTGCATACTGCATACTGACTGACTTCTCTCACGTTTCTGAAAGTGTCAAGACCTGTTCATAGAATGGGGTGGTGTTGTCTAGTGGTTGAGAAAGCTCTAGGTTGGTAACCGAAAAGTCTGTTCAAATCACATAAAATAATTAATCCACAAGTTGTCCACAACTTGCTGACACTTTTTTGTATGTTTTCCACATTTATCTTTAGAATGGAGTTTAGTAGAGTGCAGGGGTGGACGTTGCACACTTTTAAAAGATAACCAAAGTATTGTGAGTTCAAACCATATAAAATGATTCCATATGGCAATGCACAAATTTAATCTTTTGCATGACGCATATTTAAAGAAATGCATTGCTGCAGGTTGTTGCAAAGTCATATTTTGCTGCAAATTCATCTCTGTTGCAATTGACACACAATGAGGTGTATTTGAAACTGATCAAGAAAAAAAAAAGTTAGAAATGTTTGCTTGTTTTTTTTTTTGTGTGTAGCTACTGCAGTGATTCCCTGCAGGCAGCTGCCGCTGAAGATGCACATTTTTATGCAGAACATTTAGTTGGCAGCTAGCTTGTTTCAACCTGTGCCTAAAATCACAGGCTTTCATTCTATTGTCCCACAGAGACGGGCTTCTCTGTTTGTCTGCCCATCCAAGCTCAGTATGCTTGCTGCTGAAAGGGCATGAAGAAAAATGGCCTTTGTCTTTAGATCACAAGCAGATCAATGTTAAACTGCTGGAGAGTAAACTATAGTTTTGTTGCTTTGCCATAAATGCTCAAGGCTCAATAATAAGATTTGAACAGGTAATATGATAAAAAATAAAATTGTAAATCTGTTAAATTTGTAATTCTTTTACCCCAAGAACACACACACACACACACACACACACACACACACATATGTCTGGTTTGCTATCCTTGTGGGGACTCTCCATAGGCGTAATGGTTCTTCTACTGTACAGACCATATATTCTATTGCCCTACACCAACCCTACACCTAAACCTACCCCTCACAGGAAACTTTCTGCATTTTTAGATTTTCAAAAAACTTCATTCTGTGTGATTTATTAGCTTGTTTACCCGTGGGGACCTCAATTTAGGTCCCCACCGTGACACGAGTCCCCATGAGTCAGTGTGTATTCAGGTTTACGTCCCCACCAGAATAGAAAAACAGGTACACACACACACACACACACACACATTTAGTATTTAATTTTAGAATAATTATATAATTATAATTACAAAGTGATTTTAAATAAATGTTTCTATATTTATATAGTTCATATTTGTCATGTCAACAACATGTAAATAACAGTTATTTCTAGAAGCTGTTTTATATTTGTTAAACAAAAATGTAAATATTAAATAAAATTTAACATTTTATTTTTATTTGTTTATTTTCCTGCTATAAAGACTTTTATAATTTAAGATGTGTAATTATTATAGAATTCATTATGCTAAATTATGCATAATAATTTATAACAGTAATTTTTAATACTTATTTATATTTTAAAATTTAAATAAAAAAAAAATATATATTATAGATTTTTATTATGGGCTTTGGCACGTGAGATCTTTAACCTCACGGGTCTTTTACGTCCTGAGCATATGTGCTTCCCATCACACAAACGGTTTTATCTTTATTGTACCACTAGGAGGTCTTATGTTGAGACTGTGTTTGAGAGTCAACTGTGATTACTGCCTTCAAGTCATAATCACTGCACAGCCTCTTTAATCAGTATAATCAGTACTTGATGTGTCAGTAATGTAATGATGATTGTAATGGGAGGATACAAGACCAGGCACAAGGGGTCGGAGGACGCAGACCATGACATCACTTTTCGAGAAGCAACCTACACTGCTGGACAAACACAAATATGGGGAGGGAAGGCTCAGTCAGGCTTCATTTCCTGTGGCATTTCAGATTTCGGAGGAAGGCTGCTGTGCACATACACAGCTCATGTTACGTATAAAAAGTCAGTGCACTCTGAGAGCAGCAGGGGCAACCTTTCATTCTGATGCCATTAGAGAGAAATTAAGAGGGTCGAATGTGTCACTCAACGGGTCAGTGGATCACATAGTGGAGAAAGTCTTCAAAAATAGCTCAGCTCACTTTACTTTCTGACTGTGATTCTGCAAAAGCTTCTGCTTGTGGGGTATCTAGATTCTTTACTCTTTTTTTTTAAAATTTGTGTTATTTTTAGCACGTTATTTGCATGTTAACAGATGCTGCACTTTATAGTTTGCACAGTATCATTATTATAAATCATTATTTGCATTGCAAAATTTAAAATAAATAATTAAAATTAAAAAAATTTTTTAATATGGCCACTACAGCCATACACATTCACACAGATGTTTTTGGTGTTAATGTTTTTGCAAAATGTATTTTCGTGTATAATTAAAGGAATAGATGAAAATTGGCTGAAAATGTACCCAGGCCATCCAAGATGCAGATGAGTTTGTTTCTTCATCAGGACAGATTTGGCGAAATTTAGCATTAATTTACATCACTTGATCACCAATGGATCCTCTGCAGTGAATGGGTGCCGTCAGAATGAGAGTCCAAACAGCTGATAAAAACATCACAGTAATCCACACCACAGTCCATCAATTAATGCCTTGTGAAGAGAAGAACTGCATTTTTGTAAGAAACAAATCCATCATTAAAGCATTTCTAACTTCAAATCATTGCTTACTGCTAAAATATGAGTCTTCTGTCCATAATTTTGTTTACTCCAATGAAAAAGTAATCTTGTCTGAATCAGGAGAGATATATGCACAGAATCATTTACAAGCAAAAACTGTACTAAACAAATATGTGGGTGGAGGACAACAGGAGATGGACCTTTTTTTTTTTTTTTTTACGGAGGAAGTGCTATTATGAATTATAGACTGGCATTTTGGTCAGAAGCAACAGCTTGAAGTTAAAATGCCTTGATGGATTTATTTATTTATTTTTTTTTTTCAAAATGGAAACTTTTTCAAAACTTTTAAGTGGCATAATTCAACTGATTTAGTGTTCTATTCACATAGAACACATTATTGTGTTCAAAAATAGCACCTAGTGCACAACACAAAGGTTTCAAGAGACTCCATCTCAAAAACACAACACTCATGGTGCTATATAAAAAATTACACATGATATGACACGACAGCCAAACATATTTGTTTGCAGTTTTGCATAGACAAGCGGGTAAAAAAATAACACCAACTGTAGCTAAAAGATAACCAAAGAATATCTAATAACCTTTTATTGCACAAAACTGTTGGATGCATTTAAACATCAATGCTATCCACACCTGGTGATAAGAAATCTGACAGCTATTATCTTGATTGTATTGATGAAGGTGGTGAATGAGTGTTACATAAGCAGTGCTTGATGGCTGTAGCTGCGCTGCATTAGAGGATGAATTTAGAGATGCAACTTCTCTGGTTACAATGCCTTCCAGCACAGTAAAACACAGAACAGTGTTGCTAAAAAGTTGCCTTTTACACTGAAGTTTGAGTATAGCTGTATGTCAGCACACCAATACCAAATCTTATTCTCTCTCTCTTTCTTCCTCTCAGTTGTGTACGAGCATCGCTCCAAGTTGGAGAAGTCTCTTCAGAAGGAGCGGCTGGAGCATAAAAAAGCCAAAGACGGCAAGTTATGTTTATAATATATGACAGAGGAAATTCTGAAGTATAATGACATCTTGTAGCTTGTAGGGTTGAGAATCGAAAATCGATTCCGATTCCAGAAACGGATACTTAAGGTCAGGTTTTTTATATGCGCTTTTTTTTTCTTCATCTGTGAGGACCGGACCTAGCGAACTGCCAGGACCTTGCTCGCTAATCTAAGTGCTCCAAAGTTTGGCTACATTTGCGATCAGAAGCCAAAAAAGCTATTTATTACTACCCTTAATGGACCATTTTCACCAACTGTGATGATGCATTTCCACAATTAACATAATTATTAACTATATAAAAGCAAAGGTTATTTTTTTTCATATTTGCAATTTTTTTGTAAAATGTTTTGTAAATTAATAACACTTTGATGTAAGTTTTGGAAAGGCAAGGAAACACTTGAGGATTTTTTTTTTTTTTCTGTTGGGGTAAACGGGGACACGATGAAAAATGATTTGTTGTAGTTTCTGTTCAACACTATGAATGTTTACCCAACTATGAGAACGAAATGGGTCCATAAGCAGGATGATCGGTATAAATTGTACTTATTTTGTCTTCTGGGAAACTTGCAAATATCTTATGTAGCTTCTTCCCAAAAAAAAAAAAAAAAAAAAAACCAAAAAAAAAAAAAAAAAAAAAAAAAAAGAATAAATAAATCAAATAAAATTAGAAAATATGTAAGTATGAAGAGTAGTATGAAGAAGCTGAATCTTTTTTTAAGGACCATTAGGAATTTTTAATTTGTTGCACGTTTAAAGCAGATCAGTATAAAAATTAATAGTTCAGTTTATTTTTTTTATTACTGTATATTTATTAATTAAAATGTGTAGTAAAAATATTTAAATATTATAATATTAAATAAATAATTATTATATTTATTTGTTTAAAACATTTTAAATTAAATCAGTACATCAAATATTACAATGATGTTACTATGCTTATAATTAAACAATTACAATTACTTACCAATTTAAATAATATTTGATTATTTTAATATATTACAAATTAGGGAGGAATTGTGCTTAATTGTTATGATTATGAAATATTTTCACATTGCAAAAAAATATAACTGTTTTTCAAAGACTTTTTTTTTCTTTTTGCAACATCTATATATTGTTCTTTTGGTTTTTGGGGGAAATGACCTGAAAAAATGTTTTTGACGATTTTCATGAAATTCACCCGATTGGAATTTATATTATATTGATATTTATTTATGGTCCATGTTTCCTTGATCCGTCTTTTTGCACATCATTCAGTTGTATTTATACACACTATCCATACAAATATTCAGAGTGGTTGTCCTGAATGCTTGTAACTGAGCATTGCCTGTGATGGTCCTTCTTGTAGCAACAGCACAAGAACTTAAAATCTGCCCATGACCAGCTTGTGTTGACCCTGGAAGACCACAAGAGTGCACTAGCTGCGGCCCAGGTTAGGGTGGGTGTGTGTGTAAATGTGCTTTAATCAGGTGGGGTATGTGTTTGCTGTGCATGCATCCTACTGACCGATCAAACACTGTGCAGAGCACATCCTGTGGGAAATACTAGTTCAATTTCACACAGCTCATGTAAGCAGCTTGCAAATGGTGTATATTTATTTCTGCACCCATATTAACAGGTTCCAGTAGTCTATGTAAGCAATACAATGCTGTGTATCAGATTCATAGCTGAAAGTAGCATTTCAGGACTGAACCTGTTTTTGCTGCACAGAAAATTATTTGCTAAACTTAGCAGAAAATATGGTGAACATGAGCCGTAAACCTACTTACCAGCGCGATCATTTCCAATGTTTTGCACTTGAATAATTAGCCTACCTTTATAGTTGCCACTTGCATTATACCACACATATTTTGGTCAAGTCTACACTAGGGCTGTGCGATTTGGGGGAAAATATCAAATTGCGATTATAACGTTCATGTACTAACAAAAACATCTAAGAATGTATCTTTTATTCTCCAGTACTGAAAACAGAACCGATACGGGAGCTTTTGATATGCGCTGTGACGCAGCTCTTGGAAATTACCTTTTTTGTTTGTTGTCTGTCATTTCGAAGCTTAAGTTGCATACGTTTTTCTTTAGTTTTAATTTGCCTAACTATCGATCTGACCCAGTAGACGCCATAATCCCACTCTGTCTCTCTCCCGCTTTCTGTTTGTTTTTGTTTTTTGTTTTTTTTTAAATGGTGGGTGTTTAGGCAGTTGGCTAGAGCAGTGCTGATTGGGGAGAACGGAGGTGCGCTCACTCTATTGGTTAGTAAGACTGCAACTCAAGGCTGGCAGTCATGCATATGCTCTGGAACAAAGTAATATCGCGTCCATATCGCAGGCTTTGCGATTAGGAAATCGCAACGTCTCAAATCGCGATTTCGATTCGATTTCGATTAATCGCACAGCCCTAGTCTACACGCAATATATTTAATAAAAGTAAAATTATTTGCACGCTTTGTATGGTGCAATTTAATTATCATTGATCCAAATGTAAAATATTGTATTTTTTGTACAAACATACACATAATAATTTTATATCATTTTATTGAAATTTTAAATTAACAAACTTTTATTATAATGTTATTTTAGTGTCATTAAGATACTATTGTAATTTTTAGAAGTATTTTTTTTATTAATATCGGTTTTTATTTTTTCAGTTTTCATTTTAATTTTAGTTAATGTTTTATTCATTTTGTTCATTTGGGTTATATAATTGTATTTTTTTACATTTTTATTTCTGTTTTAGTTATTTTACTACATCAAGTTAAACTAAATTAAATGAGAAATGAATAAAAAACCTTTTATTTTATTTCAGTTAACATTTATTTTTTATTTTATTTATGTTTTATGTTTATTTATTTTATAGTATTACGTACAATGCATTTTCTTGATGGTTTTAGTTGACTATAATAACTGTTTATTATCTATTTTAGTTTTAAAAGAAATAGTATAGCATATGTTCAGCATCTCATATTTATTGTAATAAATATGAGATGCTGAACATATGCTATACTATTTATCTCCAGTGCGTATTTTTCAGCCTTTTTTTTTGTTTTGTTTTGTTTTGACTGGAATCATGATTTTTGTACTGTCCCTATCCAAATAAATATCCAAATAGTTAAATTGTAAATTGTATATATTTATTTATTTATTTACACAATATTTGTGTGTGCTATGTATTTTCATACTTAACAACATATACCAAACTCTATTGACATTTATTGTAGGCTGCAACAATTAAGTTGCATTTCCTGTGCAATTTGCATGAGAGATTTTATTTGTATGGCTTCGTCCCAGATCAGTTGCCTATGAGGTTCTTTGGCAACTAGGATGTTGCCTATTTAGGCAGCAAGGCAACTCACTAGGTTTTGAATCAGAGCTAATATGTTAACCCAGAAATCATTTTATTTTCTGCATAGCACCGCATATCAATTATACAGAAAAAATGCTGTCAGTGTGAAAGCAGCACCTGATCCTGCTGATGCAGTTAGACTGCAGCGCTGCTTGCTTGAGCTGTGTCAAACAGGCCTAAGCCTGTATTTCAAGTCCGGTCGCATTCCACAAGGCCATTGTGATCTCTCGCACACACTCTCTTTCTTTCACTCGTTTCTACAGAACTTCTTGCCCTGGTTTAGTATGCTAAAATGTGCATGACTCTGATAAGCAAACATGTTGTACTTGCTGTTTACTCGCTCCGTCTCTGCAGCTTTGTGAAAGCAGATGTACAGATGCTCGTTAATTAGGACTATCACTATCTGCTTTCTCAGGATGATAGGGAAGGATGCTGGGAGGCTGTGGGTTTAACGTGTGTGTGTTTGCACTTGTTCTCCTTTCAAACCCACACACCCAGCGTGTTATTTTCCTTCCATATGCTGCTAACACTTGGCATTTTACCAGAAAAGAAAAAACAGTATACCCTAGTGAAGGAGAACTGGGTGAAAGAAAGGTTAGATTAGGATATAACGAATTACGAATATTTGGATAAGAATTGAGGGTGATAAAACATTAGTGTGGTTTAAAAGAATGACATTTTGACATACATTAGCGTTGTTTGAATAACACGCACACAATTTTAGTTGTTATTTACTTAATGTGTAGCTCTTCTTCCCTCTAATTTGTTTTTGCATCTATTCAAACGTTGCATGTCATGATTGTTTATTTGATGCACAAGAACTTGGAAAGTTTGGTGTCAGTGAGATGTAGCATTGCATCTTTTTTTAATGTTTAATATGTGCAAGCCTGAATCTTTTCAGACTTTTACATTTAAATTAAATTAATTCTAATTTTGAAACCAGTGCAAAAAATATGCTATTGAATATTGAAAATGAACACTGCAAATATGCTAGTAGCACTGAACACCAGAAAACCAAAAATTATATATATATATATATATATATTGCATTTTTGCAATTAAATAAATGCTGCTTTCTAAATATGCTTTTGAACACACTCTTTTAATTAAATTAAAATGTTATTATAAATAAATAACTACAAGAAATAAATTAAAACCATTTAGTTTTTGTAATATTTTCTAAATTAAACAAAATCTAAATAATAGGCTTTTGAACACACTCTTTCATTTTAAAAAGTATAAATATTAAATGATTAAATATTTTTTAAATAATTAATTTAAATATTAAAAACATTTAGTTTTCTAGTATTTTTTCAATATAATTTTTTTTAAGTAATTGAAAACATACTAAAATATACTTTTTTAAAGGTTTTTGGGTTATTTTTAAAACATTATTTTAAAATCGTAATATAAATATTAATTGATTTAAATATGCATCACATATTTAATCACAAAAATAAATAAGTAAATACATTTAAAACCATGGAATGTTGTTTTCTAGTGTTAAGTACAGTTCGCTTTAAGTTCTCAATGAATTATTTAAATAATTATTTCTATAAATTGCTCTGGTTTTCTTTCTGTTCTTGGTGTCTTTCACTGATAATGGTCTTTAATCTATCTTTCTCTTCTGCTTTGTGTCAGGTTCTTGATTTCAGCTTGCTGCGTTTGTTGCCTGTTTCACTTAACCTCCAAACATTTCGCCAGTGTATATGAGGCCTTCATTCTAATGTGTGATGTTGTACTAAATGTGGTTGGTCTCGATGGATTACAGGTTCAGGTGGATGAATATAAACAGCTGAAGGAAACGCTCAATAAGATGCCCAGTCTGAGACATGCTGCAGGGCAGCCTCAGCCGCATGTAGACGCTCAGCCCATCCAGAACGGGAACGCAGAGGAGCTCCATCAACGCCAGGACGCTCAGCCAGAGGTATTAAAGCTGTTTACCCATCATGCATTCAAAACTGAGTTTTTTTCCACTCATGTCACTGGTTTGAATGGTCTGTCTCATGTGGATCTCGTCAGGCGGGGAGACATGACGAGGTTGAGAAGCCTCAGCCATACCACAGGGAGGAGGATGGAGAAATGGGAGGAGCTGAGGAGAGGAGGAGAGAGCTGGCAGAGGAGGAGATGGAGCAGGCCGGGCAGCCACAGAAACTGGAGGAGGAGTTTGATGTGGCGCATAATGAAGTGGAGGAGGAGGAGCCACAGGGCAACCAACCGGATGAAAACGCGCTGGAGAGGGAGCAACATCACGCTCATGAGGTCAGAACTCCGAAAGCAAACATTAGAGCAGGGATGCCCAAATCAGGGCCCACAATGACCTTTGATTTGGCTAAGGGTGCTTTCACACTAGCACTTTTGGTGCGCACCCGGGTTCGATTGACGTCAGAGTTCGGTTCGTTTGGATGATGTGAATGCTGTCTTCCGAACTCGGGTGCGCACCCGCGAACCGTAACAGAGTCTGCTTAAAAAGGGTGGTCTGGGGTACGGTTCATGTGAACTCCGGTACAGTTTGCTGCTGATGTGAACGCAATCGTACCAAATAAAAATGTGTTGGCGTTGCAAACAGAGAGCTGTATATCTCATTTCTGTTCGCCTTCAGCGTTTTTTAGAGCATTTGCAGTACATTCGTAAGACAGACCTAAGTGCCGTTATGTACTGAAGCTTTGTAAACAAAACGAACGGTTCAAAAACGTAAATATATAAAAGTGCAGAGAGCAATGTTATGCATTTGCTGCCTTCTCCTGCGCCGTCGTTACTAAGCAACGGGGTAAACAGTTGCTGGCTTGATGACGCAAACGAACCGCGGTTCGGACCCAAATAAAATAATATGAACGCAGTCCAGCGGGGGCAGGGGGAGGGGGGAGCAATCGAACTCTGGTTCGGACCAGGCAAGCGAACCAAGTGTGAAAGCACCCTAAATTTCAAAAGGGGGGAAAATAGGCAAAAAACAAAACAAAGAATTAACTGACATGTGTGAATGCATTTGCAAATACTTTGAAATATAACCTGATCATTTGTAATAATTAGTAAGTAAACAGTCCACTGGTTGGCAGTGGTGGTATTTCAGTATTAGTATTGTAAATTATTTTTAGTTTTTAATTTTTGTTTGTTTTAGTAATTTTGTGTGATGTATTTTTGCAGTTTTTATTAGTTATTAGTTTTTTTATATTTCTATTAAGCTTTCATGTCTTTTTATTTCAGCTTTAATTTTAGTTATTTTAGAACTCTTTTTTTTTTTTTCAGTTAGCTGCCAAGGCAACATTTCTAATATTCAATTAAATTAAGTTCAGCTAATATTACTGAGGAAAAACATGCCATTGAAGCATTTCTAATTTATGCTTCTAATTTGTCTTTTTGCTTTAATAATTTTTGTTTTATTTTTTTACTAAAATGTACAGAATATAAGTAGATTTCAATATAATGCAACATTTAATTTAATACGATATTCACTTTTGGCCCACAATCCTCAATCATGTTTGTTTTTAGCGCTTCATCATAAAAATGACCAATAAAATTGTATGCCTACATAACTGTTCAAAAGCTTGGGGTTTTGAAAGAAATCTCTTCTGTTTTCCAAGGCTGCATTTATGTGATCAAAAATACAGTAAAACAGTAACATTGTGAAATATTACTATAATTTAAAATTACTGTTAACTATCTGAAAATATATTAAGATTTATTCCTGTAATGCAAAGCTGTATTTTCAGCATCATTACTCTAGTCTACAGTGTCACGTGATCCTTCAGAAATTATTCAAATATGCTAAGTTGCTTTAAGAAGTATGTTGAAACAATGTTGAAAACAGTTATGCTGCTTAACATTTTTTTGGAAATCATGATGACGTTTTTATGTTTTTATCTTTTGTAGCATAAATGTCTTTATTATCTCTTTTGATCAATTTAATGCACCCTTGCTGAATAAAAGTATTAATTTAAAAACAAAACAAAAAAAACACACATACTAACCCCAAACGGTTTGAACGGTAGTGTACAGTAGCCTAGTGAGCTTCCTACCCAGACAACATTTTTAGCCATCATAATGTGCTGTTCCAAAGGGTAGGCAGCCACATAATGCTGTTTATAATATATTTGTGTGCTATATGTTTTTATGCTTATTATTATGAATATTGAGCTGTTACCTACCAATGCCAATACTCCATTCCTGCATTGTCCTTCAGTTCAGTCTGCATTCACTTTCTCACTGTAAGGCCCTCGCGCTTCTGTTCTTCCCCCAGGTGGCGCCAACTGAGGCTCACGCGCAGCATGAGCGGGTGAAGTCAGCGTACGAACAGCAGAAGGAGCAGCAGCGTCTGGCTGCACAGCTGGCGGAGGAGCGCAGACAGCTGCACCTGCGTCAGGAGGCCCTGCAGAAACAGCAGCTAGAGCAGCAGAAGGAGAGAGAGGAGAGGCTGCGTCTGCAGAGAAAGAGAGAGGAACAGCAGAACAGAGAAGCTGATCTCAAAGAGCAACAACTCCGGCAAGAAATGCTCCGGTCAGACACCCTCCCTTAAGTTATGCAGTTATTATTATGAATATTTAAATAAAGCAAAAAAGCTATGAGAGATGGTTTGTTGCAGATTAAGGATTGTGGGCATCAAATCACTGAAATGGTTGCAACAGCAATTTATTGTTTAAATAATATACATTAAGTGGGTCAAAGACGAGACGTTTCATATTGGTAGCCACATCAAATAAAATTTACAAAAGTGATTTCACAGTCATAAAAGTATATTAAATGCAAGTAATGTGTCTACTTTAAATTTTCAAATAACTTCAAAATGTCATAATATGGGTGAAATAAAGTTCCATCGTCATTCATGCAACAGATACATTTATGATAACATACTTATTCTGTCCTGTGCTTATAAAATATATAAAAGAAAAAGTGATCATACTAAATTTCATTATATTTTAAATTGTAAAACCTAGTGGTTTGGCGGATAGTTGCAAAGATTGGTAAAGATTTAAAATGACAATTTATTAGTTTTTGGGGGCTGCATATTGAGATATTGAGTTTTTTAATGTCATCTAATGATTCTTGATCTAAATATGCCTGACGGGATTTTTAGTAGATAAACTATTGTTACACTAAATAACATTTTAGTGGGTGTCTTCTGTAAATCATGGTAGAAATGTATGTCATTGTTTTTCTCAAAAAAATTTAATTAAACAGGACACATTGTAATGTATATTTTAAAAAAATTAAAACCATATTAAATTTTTATTGTTTTGATGCCTGAAAACCCCTTTTCCTCTTTGATCCAAATGAATAATAATAAATGATCATCAGTAAATAATTACATAAATTTTTAACAAAAACGACAAAAATTTTTTCCAATAAGCATCTTTCTGCATTAATGAATAATGGTCGTGTGTGTTCACTGGCTTTTTTACAGTTCATTTCACGGATAATATCCAAGCCAGGAAACTGCAATGGCTTATTTGATAAGTTCTTTTATTTTTTGTATTAATCAGGAAAAAGGCACAGTATGAAAACATGGATGCTGATATAGTCCAGGGAGAAGAAGAGCCACAGATAGCTGAGGAGAAAGGTGACAATTCATGTGCTTTGGTGTCATAGCAGTGCTACTTTTACTCAAAAAAGGGACTTCTTCAATGTTTGGTGCAATTTTAAGATCTTTGCCTTATATTTTTGTATTTCTCTGTTATTTGTAGAGGAGAATGTGCACCATGAGGAGCCGAGGCAAGATGAAGCAGAGCATGTTCATCATGAAGATGAGGTGTGTTAACTTGTGTTATTGTGAACACATATACATGCACCAGTGTTCAGAAATAGGGCTAGGTTTGATTAGGTCCTTAATACGGACACTGATTAAATTTTTTTAAAATATATATATTACTAACTGTATTTCTGTTTTAACCCAGTGTGTGTGCATGTGTGTACTGATGATAAATGCGTTCATTTTACAGCATCCTGTAGAAGCAGATGTGGATCCGGAGGACGACCCCAACAACCAGGGGGAAGATGAGTTTGAGGAGGCGGAGCAGCAGCAGCCCCATGAGGAAGAGGAGGAGGAAGAGGCAGCACCAGTTAGCCACCCTGACATGCACCTGGTCGTAGAGAATCAGCACCAGCCGCCCGCCGATGAGCAGCTGGTGGTAAGTCACCGTGTTTAATATGCATTTGGTGCAATATTGATATTTGTTTGTGGGTGAAGTTCCACACTTTTTTGTATAAAAAGAAAGGACTTAGGAGGAGTATACATTGATTTAGTTTGAGAATTTCACTGTTGTTGACATTATTTATTATGCAGCTTAGAAAGTCTGAGTTTTGTGCGTTTTGTGCAGATGGCTGGAAACCCAGACCAGCAGGAAGATGCTCTGGATGAGCAGTACCAGGACGATGGAGATGATGAGGTTGGATAACAAATGCAAATGCACGCACAGTCCTAAAACAAATAAGAATTGTTATTTGTTCTCTAACTGTAATGGCTTTCTCTCTCCAGGCTCAGGATGAGCTGGTAGATAATCAGAAGCGTGAGGCGGTGCGGGAGGAAGAGGGAGACCCGTATAATGAGGAGAATGGAGAACAGGTACAAAGGATTTATATTTTAAGGCTTGTTGATTACAGGTGTGCTGCCTGTTAGGTTTCTAAGTGATCAGATTTACACCTTGCAACAATGCAAGGCAACTGCATTATAAAAGCACACCTTAACAACCTAGTAATTCTCGAGTTATGTTGATTACAACACATATTATATACATTATGCATGATTACATTACATATATTTTTAACTGGATAAATATTTTATTTATTGTGGGTACTAGATGTCCCACTTTGACAGTAAAGGTCTGAAAGTTTGCCAGTAATGTTTATGTATGTTTGAGGAACTTTTTGTATTTAATATTTATTTATTTTGATTGTGTCATTTTTTCACTCTACAGTATATATGCTAATATTAAAAAATTTGGGGTCAGTAAGATTTTTTTAAACATTTTGTTTTCTGCAGGGATGCGTTCAATTGATTGAAAGTGACAATAAAGATATTCACAATGTAACCAGTTTCAAAATTTGAACAGTCGATTATCATAAAATCCTCGAATAAATATGTTTTCACACAAATATTAAGCATCACAAGATTTTCAACATTGATGATAATAAATATTTCTTGAGCAGCAAATCGGCATATTTGAATGATTTCTGAAGGATCATGTGACACTGAAGACTGGAGTAATGATGCTGAAAATTCAGCTGCGCGTCACAGGAATAAATTCCAGTGTATGCAATTATATTAAAATAGAAGACAGTTATTTAAATTATAATAATTCACAGTATTACCACTTCTACTGTATTTGAGCAAATAAATGCAGCCTTGATGAGCATAAGAGACTTCATTCAAAAACATAAAAAAATCTTACCAACCTCAAAATTTTAAGTGGTGTTATATGTTTATTTAAATACATCCAATACATAACTATCTTTCAAGGATTGTATATAATTGTTAATGACATAAATTACCAACTTATTGTAGCGTATCAAAAATTAGCAGTTTGTTCCAAGACTGTTCAAACCCTTTATGGTCTCTGTCGCTGCAATGTATCACAGATAGTTATGTAGTGCTTACGTGTGTACGTTTTCACTTATTCTTTTGTACAAGCTGCCGCTGTAACTGTAGACTGCTGGCAGCGCCACAGTTGGGTGAGTCCGATCGATTGCAGCGTCCTCAACGGTGTCAGTTACTGCCATGAGTCCATCCTCCATTTTCACCTCATCTCTTAGATTCAGGGAATGTTTATTCACATCTGTGCACATTTAAACAGAAAGGTCACCCAATATTTAAAATATGTCATAAAATATGTACTTACCCTCATGTTGGTCCAAACCCATCACTTTATTTTTTTCAGTTAAACAGAAATTTGAAGTGGTTAGTAGCAAGCAACCATATTTGAATATTTTCTGTTTCTTTCTGTGTGTCTGTCCAGGATGAGGCCAGACATCAGGATGTAGCGGTGAAGCAGGATAATCAGCCCGCCCAACATCCCAATGAGGAGAACTACGAAGAAGATGAGGAGGAAGAAGGCGGCAACGGTGATAAACCGCCCAATCGCAGGGCAGAAATGTGAGGTGATTGAAAAGAAGGACAGCCAATCGCTGCCAGCTGTTTGGATTGGGTTTCCCACCCAATATTCTTAAACATTGTGCCAGAAACGGCTCTGTTGGGTCCTGATGAATAGTAAACCAGTTTCACTTCCGGTCTGTGTGACTCTGAAACCGAGATGCGCCAAAACGCCCAACCACTTACAGACCAAACGCCCTGCTGTCTGCCTTTACTGTACGTCTGTCTATAGTTTCTTGTGAATAAGTTCCATTTAAATGCTCTTATATCTTGCGTTTGATTTCTGCGACTGGATGATGAATCTGAAAGCACAGATTTTAACCTCCAGAAACTCTTGCGCTGAAAGTTTTGCCAAGTGCCATTTTTTGGTTACTTGTGCTCCACATGCAAGATATATTCCATCTTTGAAGTGAAACAGCCTTATTTTAATAGTTAAGACTGATTTTGATGGACAGGCAGCAGTCACCAATCAGCATTGAATCCTCACCTGGCCCCGCCCAAACTTATGGTGTTAATTCATCCATCTTGTTGATGAATAATTCAGGATGGGTTTGGCAAGATGCTTGGGTCAATAGATGTCACTACATGAATGTTTACATGTAATTCAAGCAGATAACTAGCTGTCGAAAGCTCAAGTTTTTAAAAGTTACTGTATGTGTTTATTTACCTTAGTTGAATTATATGCTGCCTAGATGTGAACCAAAATCATTCCGTTAAATACTGATATTCATCTGCTTTTCACCAAGTGCCTCGTAGAGTTTATAAGAAAAAAATGCTGCCTAGTTTGCCAGGATGAATCAGTTCCTGAAATCTTTGTCGAATGTCTCTATGGAAACACATTTTTATAATTTTTTTTTTGTTTGTTTGTTTTTGATCTGTCAACTACTATTCTAGTATAAACTGGTACTAGTGCTACTGGACCTGGTCCTCTAAGTCTTATTGTCACTGTTAGACTTTAACATGACATCAGACAGCAGAGAAATTAATGCCACATTGAAATGAGAATAAAGGAGACAATATTCAGATGTAAAATTTTTAATATGTGAGGAGTAAACAAAATTGCTGGATTAGCTTACTCAAAATGATTTATTCTGAATGTATGCTAAATCACTACAATATTGAAAATTTGTATTTATTTTGTCTTGTTTACTTTTTTTTTTTAATGCATTATAAAATATGAAATAATCTTTTGCCACTTTTTTTTTTTTTCTGGGATGCATAGGATTTTTCGATTTATTAGCTGATGTAATATTGGTAATAAACAAGCTTTCCTGTTAAGTGTTCAGCTTTAATATTTTATATTTAAAATAAATATCTGTATGTCTATAGATTTTTTCTCCCGAGTTTTGTAAAAGGAAGTCAAATATAACTTGTGAGAAATAAATTTTTTTGCCGTTTTGTTGATAATGGCCATGTGAGCGGAATAAAAATTGGTGAAGGATTTAATGCTCATCCTCTTTTAATCATGCATAAAGTCTGGCGGGCACACTGATGTTTTGATGTTTGGTGACCTTGAGCAGAGGAAAAATCTCTTCGTCTGACATAAATGTAAAATTGAACCCAAAGCAAAATAACACTGCTTTCATCCTGCAGTTCCTGGAAGACTGATGAGAAGCTGCAGTAAGTGACACAGAGGTACCGTGTAGATTCAGGCTGCAGCTCTGCAGTTCAGTCAGAAGAATGAGAGCTTTAGATGAAATAGTCCAACAAGATAAACTGAGGTCATCCCAAAAACTGTTTTCTGCCTCCCAGTCATAAAAAGTACAAAAATTGGTTGTATGTTGTATTTTGTGTACCGCTGCCTCTCTGTATCCTCTGCTGTTATTGATTTTATATGTGTGTATATATATATATATATATATATATATATATATATATTAGTGCTGACAAGCAATTAATCGCATCCAAAATAAGTTTTTGTTTATGTAATATATGTGTGTACTGTGTATATTTATTATGTATATATATACACACACATAGTATATATTTTGAAAATATTTACATTTATATATTTATATAATTTATATTATATATAAATATATTTAATATAGAAATATAACATTTTTCTTAAATATGTACATGCATGTGTGTGTATTTATATATAGATAATAAATATACACAGTAGGCCTACACACATATTATGTAAACAAAAACTTTTATTTTGGATGTGATTAATTGCGATAGGTCGTTTGACAACACATATATATATATATATCTGCATATCTGCACTGTGTTCATTTTGTTTGTCAGGCAGCTGTGAAGAGTCCTTTTGGAAACGCTGTAAAAAAAAAAAAAAGCTCTCTGTAGGGAAGCGGGGTTTTTCTGCTGACAAACAAAGCCACTTCACAGATTTAATAAGTTGTATAATTTTGTCAGATCTCTCGTTTCTCTGTTCTCCTGTCTCCTCAGCTCGGGTTTCAGCGGCGCTGAAATTGACACCAAAATTAAAACAAAACACTGAAGCGCATATGAATTAGTGATCGCCGCTGAAAGGATGAGCTGAACTTCACTGGACAATGGCGGGTCATGAATGGCTACTGAATGTGTATAAAGCCGTGAACATACTGTATGCGGTGGTTATAGGCTATAGCCAGTGCGTGAAGTTTAAAGATTTATTTTTTGGCATTTTTGCCTTAAAGGGGTCATATGGTGCGATTTCAATTTTTCCTTTCTCTTTGGAGTGTTACAAGCTCTTGGTGCATAAAGAAGATCTGTAAAGTTGCAAAGACTAAAGTCTCAAATCCAAAGAGATATTCGTTATAAAAGAATACGCCTACCTAAAACGGCTCGTTCTAACACGCCCCCACATATCTACGTCACTATTTGGGCGGCGCTGTGTGCAGTTGATCAAGGTTTATGTCGCACTCAATGCATCCCAGATAGCACGTACGCCTGCCAGATGTCTGTTAAAGATCGCTTGATCTGGAAAGCATCTGCTGTGTACAAACATCTGACAAACACCTGTAAGATGTCAGTTTTACATACATTCTAAATCATAAACATCTTAAAGACATCTATTTGATATGAAACATCCTATTAGGTTACCTATTGCAGATGAGCAAACACTCTAAAAATACGTCTTCCAGATGTAAAAGCAGATGTCAAATAGACGTCTCCGAGATGTACGTGTGCTATCGGGTCAGTCAGCTAAAGGCCAATTATCTAAAAGATTCACGAACAAAACATAAGGCGGTTGCGATTTAATTGCGCAAGTGGTTGCGACAGGTAAACCATGAAAAAATAACTTTTCTTGCTCCTTTTTTTAATGTTTGTAAACACTGAAGTAAAGTCGGCAACAACCTCTGGTTCACGCGGACTTTAAAATGTAGCCTACACATGATTTGTACTCTTATTATATCTGATACAAAACTAGTATGCATGACCAAGACGTAGCCTACAAATGTTGACTCGACTCGACCGTTTTCTCAACGGCTCTGGACTGGACGATACAAATGGCGCACTGTTGCTGTACATGGTTTATTTGTGCTAGCGGTTGCGGCTGGTAAAACTTAAATAAAAGCTATAAAAATAGTAAATGTATAAAAAAATAAAAAAAACTTGTATTTGTACACATAATCTGTACCCTGATTATATATGTTAAAACTTTGTATGTTTAACCATGACCGAGACATTCTAAAATGTAAAAAAAAAGCTTAACGTTGTTTTTTTTAAAGACCAAACTCAGTAAACACATTATTAAAGGGGTCATATGATGCGATTTAAATTTTTCCTTTCTCTTTGGAGTGTTACAAGCTCTTGGTGCATAAAGAAGATCTGTAAAGTTGCAAAGACTAAAGTCTCAAATCCAAAGAGATATTCTTTATAAAAGAATACGCCTACCTAAAACGGCTCGTTCTAACACACCCCCACATATCTACGTCACTATTTGGGCAGCGCTGTGTGCAGTTGATCAAGGTTTATGTCGCACTCAATGCGTCCCAGATAAAAATGTAGCCTACACATGATTTGTACTCTTATTATATCTGATACAAAACTAGTATGCATGACCAAGACGTAGCCTACAAATGTTGACTCGACTCGACCGTTTTCTCAACGGCTCTGGACTGGACGATACAAATGGCGCACTGTTGCTGTACATGGTTTATTTGTGCTAGCGGTTGCGGCTGGTAAAACTTAAATAAAAGCTATAAAAATAGTAAATGTATAAAAAAATAAAAAAAACTTGTATTTGTACACATAATCTGTACCCTGATTATATATGTTAAAACTTTGTATGTTTAACCATGACCGAGACATTCTAAAATGTAAAAAAAAAGCTTAACGTTGTTTTTTTTAAAGACCAAACTCAGTAAACACATTATTAAAGGGGTCATATGATGCGATTTAAATTTTTCCTTTCTCTTTGGAGTGTTACAAGCTCTTGGTGCAAAAAGAAGATCTGTAAAGTTGCAAAGACTAAAGTCTCAAATCCAAAGAGATATTCTTTATAAAAGTTAAGTCAACCACGCCTACCTAAAACGGCTCGTTCTAACACGCCCCCACATATCTACGTCAAGATGTTTGTGTTCTGTGTGATTCGTTGTGAAAGCGAAACTACTTTGTTTGGTCTTCCAAAAGAGGACACACGTAAGTACGTTTTCATTTAAAGGATTTGCCATTGATGATTCAAACGCGAGTTTTGGGCAGTGTGGATTAACGTTAGCACTTGTTGTTTGTCATTTCTCTGATCACAAATGCAGACATGGTTTTATGTTTACACGGCGCGATGCAACGCAACACGTAAAAAGACAGTATAAGTCCTTATAATCCGTAATTATGTCCCCACTGTATGCAACAAATGCCTCGTTTGTAATGGGTTTTAATGTTTATGTCTCGTCGCTCCGGCCGGACACGGTATGTGAGGGGCGTAACATTTCCGTCTCACGCTTGAGGTATTCGGCCAATCACAACGCACTGGATAGCTGGCCAATCACAGCACACCTCGCTTTTTCTGACCGATGAGCTTTGTAAAAATCGACACGTTTCAGAAAGGCGGGGCATAGAGGAGAAACAATAATGTACAGTATGTGGAAAATAATGTGTTTTTTAAACCTTAAACCGCATAAACGCATTTCATTACACCAAATACACCAAATAATGTTCTTTTTAGCAACATCATATGACCCCTTTAATAAAGCCGTTAACAAAGCCGAAAACCGTTATTAGAAAAACGCTTAATGTGGCTTAATGCATTAAAACAGTGTTTTTAAATGACCAAACTCAGTAAACACATTATTAATAAAGCATACTATGTACAGACAAGCAGATGAGTTCAGAATGAACGCAATGCGTTTAGTTATGCGTAAGCGTTTTTCTTCCATAAGCAGGGGCGCTATTGTTTGTGGGCCCCCCGAACACTCTGAACACTCTGAACCCCCTGAACTCGTGTCCCCCTTGGTAAAAATCGCGGTCTTGGGGGGGCGCGGTCTCCGTTCCCCCCTCGGGGGCCCCCTCTAACGCCGGGCCCTTAGAATCGTCCTAACTTCCTCCCCCCTTACAGTGCCCATGCCCATAAGGAAAACGCTTAACATGGCTTAATGCATTAAAACAGTGTTTTCAAAAATGCCAAACTCAATAAACATTATTAATAAATCATACTATGTACAGACAGGCAGATATGAGCCCATAATACGAATGCAATGTGTTTAATTACGCATTAAGCGTTTTCCTCCCATAGAAAACAGTAATAAGGAAAACGCTTAATGTGGCTTATAGCATTAAAACAGTGTTTTTAAAAATACCAAACTTAAACATTATTAATAAATCATAATTAATAAATCATTAAGCCATGTTAAGCATTTTCCTTAACGTGTAATTACACACATTGCCTTCGCATTCTGGGCTCATC